ATATATATGTCACGGTAAACTGAGATGTTCAAATTCAAAATTTCCCATGGAGACAGGAAGATGGGCAAAGATCGCAGTCATTTGTCTCTGAAATTTTGTTTACCTATATACTTTAATACAACACAAGGTACCTAACTCATATACATGACTCATAGGCACGTGCCTTTAGGCACGTGCCTACACATAATTTTTTCACAAATACTTTTTTTTATTAAAAAAAATAATAAACAACGTTATCTGTAGATGCACGCCGGTGAAGTCGTCAAAACTCTTTAATTATCGAATGTCATGTGTACACTAGTCTATCATCCTTAGTGAATGGAGCATTGGATAGAATTGTATGTCATTATATTCCCCCTTATATAGAAACTATAAACTATAACTTTGGTTCAGATCATTTCACTTCTATCAACAAATTCTTGAATGAACCTCAACTTAGACACATGATTTTTTTTAATTAGTTGTTGTTGGCTTTCAACTAGCTTTCCAATTGGTCTTCATCCGACCATGGAAGTATTATATTGTCAATATAATACTTCCATGATCCGACCTACAATAAAAAAAACTTGCCCGTGCAAGTTGGGCGTCCGTTTGGCTGTGCAGGATGTATAAATACGCAGTCATGTCTGGTCAGAATGGGGACGTTAAATCCGATGCCTAGTGTAGAGAGAATGCCACGCTCTCTGCACGTTAAGAAACTTGCAACAACTCTTGGAGGGGTTCGTAGGTGGTCTACTGAAAGGCAAAATTCTGTTCCTATCCAATAAACCCTCATTTTCCAATGCATGGCGTTTCCAAATTTCCAGTAACTTCGAGTACTCTAAGATCTACGTGTAATGACCATAATTATTCAAATTCCTAAGCAGGTAGGGATTTTACAGTACATGATATAAGGAAATATAAATTTCTTGAATTTTGTTCGATAGAATGAACAGAACAGAACTTCTGCATGAGGCATCGACTGTGTGTGTATGCATAGATGTATGGTTGTGATGAACCTTAACTGGAGTTCCCTATATTGAAAAGAGATTTCTAATAATATAATAATGTTACAACATAGTTTTGATAGCATAATATAACATATTCATCATAAATCACATCTATCAACAAACCAAAATTAAATTATCAAACTGTGATTTTTTTTTATTAAATGGCCCCTTAAATGCCGAGATTGTACTTTTTGCTGCATGGTCTAAACCATGGTTGATTGTATCATTCAATGTTTTTATAATGGTTTTGCTGTCCACATCTGTTGTGATTCTGGCATTGCAACTTTTTTGTACATCTATACGATTTGTCTCTGTATGAATTATGCATTCTGTCATTTCGAACATGTGAAATACAATTTTATACCTTGCTTTCATGTCGATCCGGCCCCCAAGTCGTTTCGTCCCAAGACGATCCGGCCCCATATTTAAAGTCGACCCGGCCCCAATTAAAAAAAAATATTTATAAAGGATAAATATATATATGAATTGTATTGTGGATATATAAATATGAATTGTAAAGATAAACTTTTATGAAATTTATAATAATATAAAAGGTGGACGGTAAAAAAAGTGTGCCTTTGAAGAATATTTAAATAGGCTATCTAATTTTCATTAAATGTGATTCATTGGAATATTATTTTTAAATATGTCAAATGGACTACATAAACTATATTATGTCGATGAAGAAGTCAAGTTGTTTGTTAGAAGCAGTTTATCGGGTTTTTAAGTTAATAAGGAGCTTATAAGCTTTTTATACTATGGGAAGCGGGGAATGATTGGTGGAGATAGGAAAGTTAACCTAACCTTCTGGAGCGGATTTGTTTTTTTTTAAATCTACAAAAGGTTTTTTTTACGTACGATGGAGCGTGGCATTTTCTTAATACACACGGGTGCACAGACTCTTCGTATTATAATATAACGGTAAACGAGGAACTCATGAGAGGAACAGAGTAAAGATAAAATGTTAACGCAGCATTAATTGTCTACTTGCAGAAAATTGACGAGGACGATCTCTCATTTAGTATGCAACTGTAACCAAGGACATACATACACAATAGCGAATGCAAATGTATCTACTATAACTATTGAAGCAATCTGCTTCTCATAATAATTGATCATCTGCAGATTTTAAACGAACCATCACACGTCGTTTACATATATATAACCATAGATGTATAAACCCTTGTATATCTATGATATAACAGAATTTAGTACCATCAACAATAATCAGCAGTAATTAACATTTATTTGACTGTGATCTTAACAAGATTGAATTAAGTGATTACGACTGCATGGGTGTTACTTTGGTTCACGATCCTCAAACAATCGTTGAATAAACAAACCAAAAACAAAAATTGATTTGATTTAAACATTACATAATTATATTGTTCCATTGGATTGTAAATATTTTTCCAAGTTATCATGGAAAATTACTTCATTTTACATGCTGATGTAAACACAATCTGTAACTCATCGTATTAGACTTGTATACTAAAAATTCGTAAGGGTTCCGCGGAACCCAGTGTCTCGCCTACTTTTTCTGTTAATCACAGGCTCAACAAAAATGAGGAAGTAAATCAATAAAAATATTCCTCTTGATACTATCTTTTGATTGTAAGAAGCTTCTGTCCAAGTTTGGTAAAAATCCAGGATAGTTTATGAATCTATTAAATGTTTAAAAACTTTAACTGCAGACTGAATGTAATGTTAACTGGAAGAAAACAAAATTTCCTTCTAGATACTAGCATTTGATCATAAACAAGCTTCTGTCCAAGTTTGGTAAAAATCCAAAATAGTATAAGAACGTTATTAAAATTTTAAAAACTTTAACCACAGAGTGAATGTGTTGTTTCCTGGCAGAAAATCTAAGTCCATTTAAAAGTAAAATACGGAAAAAATGGATTTATTTTTTTACAAAATTTCCTTCTAGATACTAGCTTTTTATCATAAACAAGCTTCTGTCCAAGTTTGGTACAAATCCAAAATAGTATAAGAAAGTTATTAAAATTTTAAAAACTTTAACCACAGAGTGAATGTGTTGTTTCCTGGCAGAAAATCTAAGTCCATTTAAAAGTAAAATAAGGAAAAAATGGATTTATTTTTTTACAAAATTTACTTCTGGATACTATCTTATGATCATAAACAAGCTTCTGTCCAAGTTTGGTACAAACTCAGGATAGTTTAAGAAAGTTATTAAAATTTTAAAAACTTTAACCACAGAGTGAATGTAATATTTCCCGGCAGAAAAACTAAGTCCATTTATAAGTAAAATATGGAAAAAATGGAATTTTATTTTTACAAAATTTACTTCTGGATACTATCTTATGATCATAAACAAGCTTCTGTCCAAGTTTGGTAGATATCCAGGATAGTTTAAGAAAGTTATTAAAATTTCAAAAACTTTAACCACAGAGTGAATATTTGTGGACGCCGCCGCCGACGACGACGACGACGACGCCGACGCCGACGGAATGTAGGATCGCTATGTCTCGCTTTTTCGACTAAAGTCGAAGGCTCGACAAAAATCATCTCAATATGTGAAGACGTTTAGAAAAGTCTGTATAACTGTTATTTTTTATCGAAATTTTCTAAGTCCACAGCCCGTAATTTTAGCAAAAATTCATGGAGCAGAACCAAACGTAAACTCGACCTGTAACTTCATCATAGTGAACTCACATACTAAAAATCAGCTCAATATGTGAAGGCGTTCAGAAAAAAGTCAGTATAACCGTTTGTTGCGGAATGACGGAATGACGGATAAGGATAAAACTATATGGCCCTGGCCACTTTGTGGCAGGTCCATAAAAAGGTTATACTAGTGTCTCTCCTGAAGACTCATTGCAGGAAAGAAATAAAATGCTCCGCTGGGGCGCAGCTTGATACGACCGCAGAGGTCGAACCCTGAACAGTTGGGGCAAGTATGGACACAACATTCAAGCTTGATACAGCACTGAATTTGGATTGTAATTAAATATTTGACACAGCATAGGTTTCTGACACAGAATGAATGTGGTCTAAGAACTTAAAAGTTTTTTAATTTACCTTTTCAAACCATATCATTATTATTTGCTTTTATATATAAATCAGAAATAACCAATTTAAAATGGAAAATTTTAAAGAAAAAAACGAAAAAAAAATCCTCCCCCCCAAATTTTTTGAACCCCCTTATGATTCATCACCCCCAAACTCAATCCCAGCCTTCCCTTTGAGGTATGGTACCTTGCAGTACAATTTCAGAGAGATCCATACACTTGAACACAAGTTATTGTCTGGAAACTAGAAAAATGCTTATTTTTAGCCCCTTATTCCTAAACGTTTTGGGCAATTACCCCCAAACTCAATCCCAGCTTTCCCTTTGTGATATGGAACCTTGTAGTACATTTTCATAAAGATCTATACACTTACACACAAGTTATTGTCACGAAACTAGAAAAATGCTTGTTTTTTCCCCTTTTTGGCCCCTAATTCCTAAAATTTGCAGGCAATTACCCCCAAAATCAATCCCAGCATTCCCTTTGTGATATGGAACCTTGTGGTACAATGTCAGAGAGATCCATACACTTACACACAAGTAATGGTCATGAAACTAGAAAAATGCTTGTTTTTTGCCCCTTTTTGGCCCCTAATTCCTAAAATTTGGAGGCAATTACCCCCAAAATCAATCCCAGCATTCCCTTTGTGATATGGAACCTTGTGGTACAATGTCAGAGAGATCCATACACTAACACACAAGTTATGTCTGGAAGTTACAAAAATGCTTATTTTTGGCCCCTTTTTAGCCCCTAATTCCTTAACTGTTATTACCATAACCCCCAAAATCAATCCCCACCTTCCTTTTGTGGTATTGAACCTTATGGTATAATTTTATAGAGATCCATTCACTTAAACTAAAGTTAGAGTGCGAAAACCAATGTGTCTTCGGACAACAACGCCGGACAACGACGACGACACCAACGTCATACCAATATACGACCCGCAAAATTTGTTTGCGGTCGTATAAAAACTAAGCAATTTTAAAAATTATTTTTATTATATATGTAAAGATGAATTATGTACAACTCCACTAATAATTGCACTATAACCATTCCCTGAATGAGTGAAAGACCTAGAACATGTACAGTTGCTAACACAAATATGTTTCTGAAAAAAATCAGTCAATGATTAAAGTTTTAAATTGAGGTCCTAAGAAGAGTATCACTTTCCTAGTTTGTTATCTTGACACACCAAAGGGAAGATAATTTTGAGATATAAAAATATTGCAAAAACATTTAATGTCAGCACTCAGTTAGGTTTCTAACCCCTATTCAGTTATAGAATAGGCCATGCTAAATAGGAGCTGTAGTTATCAACCATTATTCTAAATGAGAGGTTGAAATTTGTTCCTTCCTTATAAACATGTTTTGTATTAATTGATTCTTTGAAGGATTTTTTTTTCTTTTTTTTATTTGCAGCAATATGGCAGTCACGTTGGCTGATCGTCAAGAAGATTGGGAAATTATCGAAACTAGATACCTTTAGAATGATCTTAACCTAGTAAGGTTTCAACTGATGAAGTGGTTTCAATGGAGAAATTTTTTAAAAATTTTCATGATGAACAACAGATGACTGACACTTTGTGATGAAAAAAAGTCACACAACCTCTTGGTCCTTTACAGGAATGGTGGATTTCTTATTTAAGGATCGATTATTTTGGGGATCACAACAATACTTTCAATAGTTGTGTCATCAGTATCAAAATAAAATTGTGCATTGACTTTCCCAAACATGTGCATAAGTATACTTAGATTCATTCTCAAGAAGATTTAAGTAAACTTTAAGGTATAAAATGTTTATTTCTTCTAATGTGGTCATTTTAGTAAGTCTAAATTTAACAGTAACTGCCAAAGATCTTTAAAAGAACCTGTAAAACATATTTAGTTGTTGAATTTACAGAAATAAAGAGATATATAAAGATTTTTTAGTTTAGTTTACTTCCCAATGTTACATCAAATGTTAAACCTTGGCTAACGAATGTAGTGGTACAATAAACAGTACCTTCTTTGACCATATTTGTTTGGCAATGACTAAGGCACATACAAAAAAAACATGGTAATGATTGATGCATGTGTTGTGATAATTTCAAATCAAGTGTTAATAAAATGCTCCGCAGGGCGCAGCTTGATACGACCGCAGAGGTCGAACCCTGAACAGTTGGGGCAAGTATGGACACAACATTCAAGCTTGATACAGCTCTGAATTTGGATTGTGATTAAATATTTGACACAGCATAGGTTTCTGACACAGAATGAATGTGGTCTAAGAACTTAAAAATTTTAAATTGGACATTCACCTATTATGGTCCAATATCCAAAATCTAAATACATGGTTATATTCAGCATATCAAAGAACCCCAAGAATTCAATTTTTGATGAAATCAAACAAAGTTTAATTTTGGACCCTTTTGATCTCAATGTGGACAAAGTTGATAACGGGGCCCAAAAATCAAAAATCTAAATACATGGTTAGATTCAGCATAACAAAGAACCCCATATATTCAATTTTTGTTGAAATCAAATAAAGTTTAATTTTGGACCCCGATTTGGACCAACTTGAAAACTGGGCCCATAATCAAAAATCTAAACACATGTTTAGATTCAGCATATCAAAGAACCCTAAAAATTCAATTTTTGTTAAAATCAAACTAAGTTTAATTTTGGACCCTTTGGACCTTTATGTAGACCAATTTGAAAATGGAACCAAAAATTAAGAATCTAAATACACGGTTAGATTCGGCATATCAAAGAACCCCAATAATTCAATTTTTGATGAAATCAAACAAAGTTAAATTTTGGACCCTTTGGACCTCAATGTGGACCAATTTAAAAACGGGGCCCAAAATCCAAAAACTTAATACACGGTTATATTCAGCATATGAAAGAACCCCATATATTCAATTTTTGTTGAAATCAAACAAAGTTAAATTTTGGACCCCGATTTGGACCAACTTGAAAACTGGGCCCATAATCAAAAATCTAAATACATGGTTAGATTCAGCATATCAAAGAACCCCATATATTCAATTTTTGTTGAAATCAAATAAAGTTTAATTTTGGACCCCGATTTGGACCAACTTGAAAACTGGGCCCATAATCAAAAATCTAAATACATGGTTAGATTCAGCATATCAAAGAACCCCATATATTCAATTTTTGTTGAAATCAAATAAAGTTTAATTTTGGACCCCGATTTGGACCAACTTGAAAACTGGGCCCATAATCAAAAATCTAAATACATGGTTAGATTCAGCATATCAAAGAACCCCATATATTCAATTTTTGTTGAAATCAAACTAAGTTTAATTTTGGACCCTTTGGACCTTTATGTAGACCAATTTGAAAACGGAACCAAAAATTAAGAATCTAAATACACGGTTAGATTCGGCATATCACAGAACCCCAATAATTCAATTTTTGATGAAATCAAACAAAGTTAAATTTTGGACCCTTTGGACCTCAATGTGGACCAATTTAAAAACAGGGCCCAAAATCCAAAAACTTAATACATGGTTAGATTCAGCATATTAAAGAACCCCAAGAATTCAAGAATAAAACCCCATTGAAATTGATCAAGAAATAAGCAATTTATACAAAGTATATTCTTTTGCACAATACTGTGCAATTGAATATTTCTTGCTATTGCGCAATACTGTACAATTGACAATTTCTTGCTATTGCGCAATATTGTGCTATTGGATATTTCTTGCTATTGCGCAATACTGTGCAATTGAAGATTTCTTGCCATTGCGCAATACTGTGCAATTGAAGATTTCTTGCTATTGTGCAATACTGTGCAATTGAAAATTTCTTGCTATTGCACAATACTTATTGTATAATAATTTACACATCCTGTTTGGTGTGTATTTCCTACCATATCATTATTATTTGCTTTTAAATATAAATCAGAAATAACCAACTTAAAATGGAAAATTTTAAAAGAAAAAAAAAAGGAAAAAAAGAAAAAAAAAAGAACCCCCTCCCCCCCCCCCAAATTTTTTGAACCCCCTTATGATTCATCACCCCCAAACTCAATCCCAGCCTTCCCTTTGTGGTATGGTATCTTGCAGTACAATTTCAGAGAGATCCATACAATTGAACACAAGTTATTGTCTGGAAACTAGAAAAATGCTTATTTTTGGCCCCTTTTTGGCCCCCAATTCCTAAACGTTTCGGGCAATTACCCCCAAACTCAATTCCAGCTTTCCCTTTGTGATATGGAACCTTGTAGTACAATTTAAGAAATATCCAAACACTTACACACAAGTTATTGTCATGAAACTAGAAAAATGCTTGTTTTTTGCCCCTTTTTTGGCCCCTTATCTTAAAATTTTGAGGCAATTACCCCCAAAATCAATTACAGCCTTCCCTATGTGATATGGAACCTTGTGGTACAATGTCAGAGAGATCCATACACTTACACACAAGTTATTGTCTGGAAGTTACAAAAATGCTTATTTTTGGCCCCTTTTTGGCCCCTAATTCCTTAACTGTTGGTACCATAACCCCCAAAATCAATCCCAACCTTCCTTTCATGGTATTGAACCTTATGGTAAAATTTCATGGAGATCCATTAACTTAAACTAAAGTTAGAGTGCGAAAACTAATGTGTCTTCGGACGACGCCGGACGACGCCGGACGACGACGACGACGACGACGACGACGACGACGACGACGACGCCAACGTCATACCAATATACGACCAAAAAATTTTCAATTTTTGCGGTCGTATAAAAACAGCATATGTATTGTTTTTAACAAACCATCCACCCATTGCTACATTATGACATTTTCAAATTTTTTTTTTATAAAAAGTTTTTTTTTATAACTTTTTGTGTTGTAGATTTTCTGGTGCCTTAATCATCTGTCGATTATGATAAATATCGAAACAAGACCCTTAATATATCAATAATCAAACCCTATTGTTGTTAGACAGGCACTGTTTATGCCCTACCAATATCTGAGAAATTGCCTCAGCCAATTAAACATGATAAATTCATGTACCGGTATATTATGCCTTGTACTTTTATTATTCTTATGATGTTTTATGTACTGTGTTGTCATTATTTTGTTAATTTCATGTATGCCATCTTTCCCATAAGGGTATAACTATGAATTCAAACAAAGATAAACATAATGATAAACATTAACACAATAAATCCATGACAATTAACATGAAGTATTATCATTTCATGATGAGAAATATTCACAGTATATTAAATTTCAGATCAAAATAGAATAGTTCAAGGTTCATGCCACCTTTTTATCAGACATTTCATTGAAAAATACATTAATTTCATCTTTTCAACAATATCCAAACATTTCTTGTGAAGCATAAGTCATATATAAAAATCCATCTTCATCTCTATCATCTCTGTATACTTCTGCCAAAGTCATTGACATGCTGGAAATACTCTTGTTGTTGATAATCAGATAAAATGCTTGATTGGCATTCAGTGACATTCTATTTCTGTAAAATAAAATTTCAAATTATGTAGTGTGCTGTAAAATTATGATAAACTTGGTTATTTCCCTGCACTTATTTACTCTTAAGTTCTGGAAACTAATATTTATTTCATAATTACCCATTTTCCCATAATCCTACCTGTATGGCCTTCTTTACTTTTTTTTTTAAACTTCCCCAGCTGAACTGTGTTAATAGGAAGCAGTTCAATCTTACAATTTGTAGTCGAAAGACCCTTTCCAGAGTTACAGCCTTAACACCTTTCTCTGTGATGAAATCAGAAAACTGTGAAAAGTAGCCAAAATCGGGTTGTGGTGAGAGTAATTTGTTGGCCACTGCGTTAAATGGATAGGCCATATTTATGAACTATTATCCCAAATTCATCAATGGAAAGTTCAGAAACACAAGTCGAAATTATGTGGTCAGATAAATTCTGGTCTGTAAAATAAGGTCACTGTTTTGTCAGAATTCCGTAAAAACAGACATTTTGGCGAACCTGACTTAGCATCAATGTTTCCGAATCAAAACAATGAAGTCATATTTACTTCCAGTCAAAATGGATTAGTTGCTGTAACCACAAGGTGATGATGGAATGACAATTTTGTCAATTGTCAATCAAATTCGAAAAATAGATTGAAAATGATATTTTTTTTCAGCAGGGGTTGGTTCATAAACACCCACCCACCCTGCCTGATTTTTTAGTGTTCTGGATAATGTTAATCAAAACTAGAGGATCTATGGGGCTTGTGTCACTTATCTAGGTCTTTGTGCATTTTCAACAATGGAAACTGTCCAATTTGCATATCAGAATATATTTCATGACAAAAATCTCTTTATTGTTCATCTTGTGTTGCTGATTTCTATTTACAGTTTCTCTCTATCTTCTTTAGTTTTTACCCAATAAACACCAAAACAATTGGTGAAAATCGTCAATAAAGAGCAATATCTCCAATAAGAAGTCGTCTGACGATTTCAGCCATTATACTTATTTTTACTTTTGTAGATCTTGTTGTACTGATAATTGGCTTCAAAGTTTTTATATATCTATTATGGTTTTTAAGATATAAGGCAAAAATGCGTCCAAAGCCTGTAATTTCAGCAAACATCAAAGGAGCTGAAACAAACTAAACTCGATTTGTAACTCATCATAGTAGAAACTAACAAGAGGCTGTCAGAGAGACAGCAAACCGGATTTTCCTGCAGAGGTCGAACCCTGAACAGTTGAGCAAGTATGGACACAGCATTTAAACTTAAAACAGTTCTGAATTTGGATTGTGATTGAATATTTGATACAGCATAGGTTTGTGACACAAAATAAATGTGGTCAAAGAACTGAAAAATTTGAAATTGGACATTTACCTACTATGGTCCAATATCCAAAATCTATGTACATTGCTAGAATCAGCATATCAAGGAACCCCAAGAATTCAATTTTTGATGAAATATTTCTTAGTTAAACCATTTCTGTTCAAAGGGAAATAACTATATTTCCATGAACTAATAATTTAAATCTAAAATTAGATATGATTTAATAATAGTTCTCTAAAATTAGATATGATGTAATTAGATATGATGTTATATTTATTTTCAAATTATAATCTAATATAATTAATAGTTTTCAAATAAATCTGTCACTACAATTATAATTGGGTGATTGATATATAGATAATAGTTCGCAATATTTTTTCTTTCATTTGTAACAAACTAATAAAGATCTGCAACTTATCTATGAAATTCTACAACTTTATCTACACAATGTAATGTAATGAAATATATCCTTTAATACAAATAGATTATTATCTAATGAATTTGCAATTCTGGAACAGGATCAAGTAAAAACTAAAATTAACACACACTCAGACAATTAGTTTATACAGAATAACAAACAAACCTACCACAAAATTGTTCAAACAATTTACCAAAGAAAAGAAAATAAATGCCCCCGCTTGCATAGCATATAGTTATAAAGGGACATAACTGAAGAACGGTAAAAGTGAAGATAACCAAATTTGAACTTGATCTGAGTTTTGTGGTAATAAGCATTGTGTGTAAGTCGCATAACATTTGGTTAAGGCTAACTTAAGTAGAGAACAGAAACTAAAAATTCAGCAATTTTTCTATTTGTAAACACGCATAACTCTAGAACGATTGTGTACAAGTTTTATAACTTAATCTGTATAATGTAGTAATAAGCATTGTGTATAAGTTTCACAATATTTGGTTGAGGCAAACTACAGATAGAAAACGGAAACAAAAAATTTGTACTTGATCTTAGTTTTGTGGTAATGAATATTGTGTATAGGTTTCATAATGTTTGGTTGGGGCAAACTTAAGTTACAGAATGGAAACTAAAAATTTTGCAATCTTTCGATTTATAAAGGGGCATAACTCAATAATGATTAAAGTGACACTACCCAAATTCAACTTGATCTGTATTTTATCAGTGGAAGTCAAAATTAAACATTGCATTGTATAAAGCATTGATTGTAGTTGATTCAACTATAATCATGGATAAAGGAAGATAACTCCAATTTTAAAAATTACTTGATATTTAGAAGAAAATAAAAATTTTGCAATTTTTCCATTTATAAAGGGGCATAACTCTAGAACGGTTAAAGTGAGGCCACCAAAATTCAAACTTGATCTGTGTTTTGTGGTAATAAGCATTGAGTATAAGTTTCATAACATTTGGTTGAGGCAAACTTAAGTTAGAGAACGGAAACTAAAAATTTTGCAATTTTTCCATTTATAAAGGGGCATAACTCTAGAACGATTAAAGTGACGCCACCAAAATTCAAACTTGATCTGTGTTTTGTGGTAATAAGCATTGTGTATAAGTTTCATAACATTCGGTTGAGGCAAACTCAAATTAGAGAACGGAAACCAATTTTGGGAGGTACGTACGTACAGACGGACAAGGGTAAAACTTAATGCCCCCACCGCTACGGTGGCTCAATCAAAAAGACATATTAACAAAAAACAAGTCATTTACTTGAACGAATAAATTTGCGGGGGCATAATTAACTTACCTTCACTTTCCCTCAAGAACTGGTCATAATCTCAATTCAAATTTCCAATGGACTTTGCAACCATAAAAGCCCATTTAAATACATCATAAAAGTATTAAAATAGAAAATGACATCATAGTCATGGCTAAAATTAAAAAACCTTAATCAGCAACATTTTATAGTATCTAAGAATAAAATTCCTTTGCAACCATAACAGCCCATTTAAATACATCATAAAGGTATTAAAATAGAAAATAACATCATAGTCATGGCTAAAAATAAACAAAAAACCTTAATCAGCAACATTTTACAGTAATATCTAAAAATAAAATTCCTTTGTAACCATAAAAGCCCATTTAAATACATCATAAAGGTATTAAAATAGAAAATGACATCATAGTCATGGCTGAAAATAAACAAAAAATAAAATTCTGGTTAGAATTGTACACATGAGAGCGCTTACAATGCAATTTTCCATATATAATTAATGTTTCCAAGGCGCATAACTCTTTTAAAAATAATTGATCGGTAGTGATTTTCTTCCTTGTCAAGACATTGCTAATATAAACCTATGATATAAGTTTCATAAAATTTTGGCAAGAATTGTACACATGAGAGCGCTAACGATGCAATTTTCCATATAATTAATGTTTGTAAGGGCATAACTCTTTTAAAAATAAACTGCTTCGCCGAGCGCAGCTGGATACGACCGCTGAGGTCCAACCCTGAACAGTTTGGGCCAAAATGGACACAATATTAAAGCTTGATACAGGTCTGAATTTGGATTGTAATTAAATATTTGACACATTATAGGTTTCTGACACAGAATAAATGTAGTCAAAGAACCTAAAAATTGGGTTATATGATTTGAATTTATATTCAATTGAAGATTTCTTGCTGTTGTGCTATACACTGTGCTGTTGCGCAATACTTAGTAAATCTGTTTTCAGACTGTTTACAAAGAATTAGCAAAATAAATTGTGACCCCCAATTTTTTTTATTACGGGTGTAGGCGGCCTGGAGTTTCGTGCGCTAGTGGTAGAGCCCTGGAGCGAAACAGAGCCATAACACGCCTTTCCTGTTTATTAGTGTTTAGATATACGTAGAATATTTAAAATGTATTCAAGATTTTCACGGCCTAGATATAGATAGTAAATTCATTGAAATTATGAACTGTTATGATATACAATATTTCCTATGCAAATTTTTATATAAATTTTTCTGAGAGAACTTACAATTTTGATTGTATACTTACATTTCCAAGGGGCACAACTTCCCCATTCATATTCTATATGCTGATTTTCAAAACTCTTTAAGGATATTGATGATGTAAACTTTTACATAAATTTCATCAAACTCCAATGAGAAATGTAGACATGAAAGTGCTTACAAAGGTGGTTTTCCATATTATATACATTTCCAAGGGGCATAAGTCACAAAGAAATAACCAATCAACCCTGATTTTCAAACACATACGAGATATTGCTCACAAAACCTTTGACATAAATTTCATATATCTTCAATAAAAAAAAGTTGGAAGGAAATCACTTGCAATGTTGATTTCCATATTATAATTTGCATTTCCAAGGGACACAACTCATAATAAAAGAACAGTTCCAATGTCCCCCCACATTGCACATATTTTATCTATCCAAGGGCAACAACTAAAACTAGAGGCTCTCAAGAGCCTGTGTCACTCACCTGTATTTACTGATGCTTTGGAAATCATGTAAAATAAGGTTGAAATCATAATTAATAGTATTAGATATATGATATTATAATGATATCTAAGGTAATAACAAATAAATGTGGATAGTGTCCACTAGTGGACACAGATGATGCCCCCGCTTGCATATCATATAGTTATAAAGGGACATAACTGAAGAACGGTAAAAGTGACGCTACCCAAAATGAACTTGATCTGAGTTTTGTGGTAATAAGCATTGTGTGTAAGTCTCATAACATTTGGTTGAGGCTAACTTAAGTAGAGAACAGAAA